CGTAAACCGTAACGTAGGGTAAGGGAAAGTAACGTAACGTAAAACGTAAACGTAACCCTTACGTTACTTTCGTTGTAGGTACGTTTAGTTACTATAATTACTACAGCTCTCTCTCTCTCTCTCTCTCTCTCTCTCTCTCTCTCATCACTTATCATCATCATGTTCTTTCAGTGTTCCCTTGAATTTTTCTGGTGCTCCTTGAGAGTTCCATATAGTACGGTTTTTTGTCAACAGTGTGCATCTAGTATCTCCTGTATGACTTCTCCTTTTGTGCAAACTAAGATGCACATGAACCCCAACCCCTTTTTCTTAGGTTGGAACAAGAATAGGTTGTGCTTGGAACTCGTTATGATGTAGTTTCCTTACTATATATTGGGTGATCTATGTCATCAAGGACTCTAGGCTGGGATGTTGAAGAATGTGAGCGGAGAGGGGTGTTCAGCAGATCAGTGGCAATGGAGAGACTCCTTTCCCAAGGAGAAAGTGAAGCATTAGTGACGGTGGTGGTTCTAATCAACTCCACAAACATCCACCCACACACACATACACGCACGCACACACACACACAGACCAAAATGGATCAGAATGAATGATCTTGACAATTGAGATATCTTCTCTTAAGACGAAAATAACACCAAATTAGAATGCCACACAAAATTACAATAGAAATGAAAGAGAAAATAAAGAAATCATACAAGGGGAAGAAATGGAGTAAAAGAAGACCCTTGCATTTCTGAGGCTTTAAGTATAATTCACATCTAATTCGCATCTCTCTCTCTCATATCATTTAGGTTAGAAAAGGCATTATTCGTCATGTTCTTTAAGTGTTCCCTTGAATTGTTCTGGTGCTCCTTGAGAGTTCCATAACGTGTGGTTTTTTGTCAGCTGTGTGCGTCTAATATCTCCTGTCCGACTTCTCCTTTCGGGCAAACTAAGATGCACATGAATCTCAGCCCCTTTTTCTTAGGTTGGAACAAGAATAGGCTGTGCTTGGAACTCGTTAGGATGTAGTTTCCTTACTATAGATGCTGCGATCTATGTCATCAAAGACTCTAGGCAGGGACGGTGAAGAATGTGTGCAAAGACGGGTGATCAGCAGATCAGTGGCAAAGGGGAGACTCCGCTCCCAAGAAGGAAGTGAAGCATTAGTGACGGTGATGGATTCTTATAAATTCCACAAACAACACCCATCCATCCACACACACACACAGACAGCGACAGAGATTAGAACAACTAATCTTGACATTTGAGATATCTTCTCTTAAAAAGGATGACTAGGAGATCTTCTATATATATATACATATACATATAGATATATATATATATATATATATATATATATATATATATAAGAAGTAGTAGTAGTGACTACTTAACTTAAGTACTACTTACTTTCGTTTCGTTTACGGTTACGTTAGGTAGTACGTACGTTAGTTTA